AAGGTATCCAGCTTCTCAAGATGTTCCTTCAGAAAGTCAGCATTAATGGAGGGCAGGGGATCACCCTCACCCGGACTTCCCAGCCCTGTAGCGGGCATGGGCATCCCATGGGGCTGATGAAAGACTGACACAAAGTACCTATTTAATAGGTTGGCTTTTTCGTGGGCGTCAGTTGTCAGTTGCCCCATGAGAATGATAATTAAGGGATTGGACTTCATGAATACTGGCGCAACATGCTGTACGCCCACTAAGAGCACCCACCTCTAGAGCCAATATTGCTGGGTCTTCTTGCCTTTCCTGGTCTGCTCCCTACAGGACCGGACCAGTGCAGAATAATCCTCCTTGGAGGTGACTCCCATCCTCCATCCTTTGTAGGCCTTTCTTTTTAGCCTCAGTTTTAATGAGGGATATTGCTTGCCTGTTTCATGGGATCAATACTTAGTGATTGTTTGGAAGACTATTTTGAAGATGGAAAGGATTAGGTATTAGTAGACCAGCACGTTTAATTTTTGAGGATTTCATAGATGTCATAGACATTAGGGTTGGAAGGGACTTCGGAAGATCATCAAGTCCAGCCCCCTGCCCCAGAGGCAGGAAGTCAGCTAGGGTCAAAGGATCTCAGCAAGATAAACGTCCAAATGTTTCTTAAAAGATTCCAGAGTAGGTGCTTGCACCACGTCTGGAGGGAATCTATTCCAGGTCCTGGGGACTCAGACAGTAAAGAAGTTTTTCCTTATGTCCAGCCTAAAACGGTCTTGGAGGAGTTTGTGACCGCTGGGCCTTGTCATCCCTTGGGGTGCTCTGGTGAACAGATGTTCCTCCAGATTCTGATACACACCCCTGATGTACTTATAAGCTGCCACTAGGTAACCCCTGAGCCTGCACTTTTCCAGGCTGAAGAGTCCCAAGGCTCTCAGCCTGTCTTCATAAGGCCTGTTCTCTTGTCCTCTGATCATGCGTGTGGCTATCCTCTGGACTCTCAATCTTCTCCACCTCCTTCTTGAATTGTGGAGTCCAGAATTGGACACAGTACTCCAGCTCCAAAATGAAGCAGAAGACTTTGCAACTTCCCTTAAATCATCACCACCCCAGATGCCTTAGAACCACTTGCTTTTTAAGAGGAAAGATGGCCTAATGATTAGGAAGGGGAGAAGGGAAATGTACTTTCCCTGCATTCTGGCCATTCACAAAGGTCAGACTCTTCAAGGGTGCTTAATGCCAAACTCCCATTGCACTCAGTAAGAATCAGGTGCCTAAATACTGGCATGGCTCAGGATCTCAGTCTCTGACTGTACCATGAGGAAGAGATCTCTACACTACCCCTCAGGGTGCTGTGAGGATAAAGGTGCTAAGGACCTTGAGGTACTGAGGCACTGTGCAGATGGTGGGGACAGAGAAGTACTAGGGTGTGTGTAATGAGGGAATTTCAAAAGAGCATTTTAAAAATACTTGAAAATGTTTCCATTGCTTCCACAGAGCAGGGCAGCTGGGTAAGCCCTGAGGGCTCCCATCCCCATGATGATGCAACCGGCAAAACAGATTAGCAGCTTGGTGATGGGCAGGAGAGGGGATCAGGACTGTGGACAGAGGCGTGGGAATGAGCAGGGGGCCCTAAGGACAACCTGATGCTTCCTCAACTTCAAGTAAATAGCCCAGGGATTTACAGATTCAGAGAGGAAACTGCCCCAGAAGGACTGAATGTGCCTTTTGAAAGAGGAGCCTCTTCCTTCTCTCTGCCTATAGAGTTGTTCTCCCTGTCTACATATCATTGGTATCATGTACCCAGGAGCTCTGTTCCTTAAAAAGAACCCCAACGTGCTAAGTCCTGAATAAATCTGTCAAGCTGAGGTCCCAGCCACCTCTTCCTTAATTACTTCAAGTTCCATTGTTTTTCTAGATCACTTAAAAAATTAATCAGGATTAAAACACTCAAATTTAAGTCATTAGATTTTTTTCCTCTCCATTGCAGTTTTTTTCCACTGTCCATTTCCATGTAGCCCATGATAAACCTGTCTCTCTTGGGCTGAAAACAGCTAATGTAACTTGACCATGGAATGGACAGACAGAGATTTTCTATGCATAGTGTCCAATTGCAAAGGTGAGTAATTCCCCAGTGCATGTTGCTTCACAGCTACTGGCAACTGACAGTGAAGCACCAAGCTGCCACCAGCAGCCTAGATTTTGCTGGCATCTAAATGCTATGGTGATAAGCTATTAATATATCTTCAGGTGCCTACTGCATTTCTTTCCCCATTCCCATAGTTCTTATACTGTAGTCATCTCTCTTCACATCTATCCCATCGCTTCTCCTAGCCACCCACTCAAGGCATCTTGGGTCTCACTGATCACTGGCATGGGACAAAGATTGACTTGTGCACCTGTAGAGCTCTTCCTCTGTTTATTTTGGAAATAAAGCACGAGGGTGGAGGCTGCTGGGAAACTCAGTAATCTTGGGTTGTTAAGGGGTAATGAGTATGTGTGGGGGGGTGCCCTATTATTGAGGTTTGGGGTTGCCTGAATAAGAGCAGTTGGCACACTGTGGCCTTTTATAATAGCTGGAAGGTTGTTACTTTCTTTTGTTTCAGCTTCAGGCTCTGCCACTCCCTGCAATTAAAAAACAACAACAAACCTCTAGAGCTTCCCTGTGAAATTGTTTGTGTGGCTATCACACTCTTCAGGCAGGAGGCACCTAGGCTGATTCAGTTACAACCACTCCACCCTTCTTCCCCTTTGTCCTCTTGTCTGATATGGCAGTTGGTTTGACATCTGCCCCTACAAGATGTGCAGGGGAAAGCTTATGGTGGGCACCAGCAATGGGGAATGGAGCTGAAGAGCTGTGTCTGCATGAGCATTGCCTTGGCTGCAATGGTATGTCCATCCAGGAAGAGCACACACCAACTGCTGAAACTTCCTTAGCCTGACGAAGGGTTTTTGAACCCAAAAGCTTGCTTAATAACTATTCTCCAACTATTTGGGTTGGTCTAAAAAAAGATATCAAATTCACCCAAGGAACCTTGTCATGGTATGTCTAGGCATCAGGAGACCCTCTACACCAGGGGTGTCAAACATGACCCATGGGCTGGATCTGGCTCCCAGACATGAGTCATCCAGTTTGCAAGGCTTCATGCAAATTTGACATCCCTTCTCTACACAAATGTATCTCCAGTAGCTGGCACTGGAATCTGAAAGCTGCACAATTGCACCCTCATTCTGTAATGATGAGCTTATATGTGAAGCTCCTAAACTAAAATTCCCACCTGTGCCCTGTTTTAGGCTGGCTCTGTAATCCAAGACCCCTGAAGATAGCACTCCAGTTATCTAGTACACCACAAGTTCAACAGCTAGATTTGTTACTGTCCAAGCAGGTGAAAGGACCCTCCCTTTTATTTATCTGCAGGATCGCCTGCCCTCCTTTCCAGTGCTGGAAAGTCTTGTTTAAGAATGAGGGGAGGTATTAGGTTGTTCAGTCTTCCCAGGCAGAGCTGTCCTCTTTCTGTTCCAAGCCCTGGAGTGTCATCATAGACCAGACACTGACTCCCTTTGTTTCCAGTCCTGTTTTATTAACAAAGAACATTTACAAACTTACAAAAGACGCGTCTTTAAAAAAAAATAGAACGATCCAAGCTGCGGCAATGAACCTTAACTACCAGCTACAGACACAGTTTGTCTCCAGAGGGTATGAGCACTTACCCCATCCCCCACTGAACTGCAGTCTGGGCCTATGCCCTGCTATTGGTGAGCTGCTGTTGGCCACAACAGCATGAGGAAGAAATTCACCTTTTAACAACCCACCCTCCATGTTGGTGGCGAGCACAAACAAATAGCAAGGAACAAAGATCAAGGGCTCTAAGACACTAGCAGCGAAATGGTTCTTGGAAATGAACAAGGCCAATGAATCTTCACTTCAGTAGCCCAACTAGAAGATCAGGGAGTGAGTTCTATGTCGTGTCTTTTGCCAACTCTGTTGGAAGCTACACATCATCAGCAGCTCCTCCCCACGCACCAAGTTTAACAAATTATGTGCACTTTGTATGTGAAATGGCTTGATGGGTAAGCTATTAGGAACTTTTCTGCTAAAGTCCACCCAGACTGCAAGGTTACGTGTTCAGTAGCCAGGCAGAGGCAGCAAAATGCAGAAAAAGGAGTTAAAAAATAACCTTAACTTTGCTTGCTGGGAACAAGGTTTCTAGCATTTTTCACCTCCACAGAAGAAAACTTGGAAGTTAGCAGCCAGGTTGGTGACTCTAAAACTATCCCTTCTTGCTCAGAGGGGGAAACTGAAGCACTGCAAGGGAGAGTGACTTGCCCATAGTTGAATGCAGGATCAGTAGCAGAGCTGGTGACAGAACTGAAGTGTTCTCATTCCCAGGGATCCCATGTGAAGCAGGAGACTCTGGCCTCCTCTTTTTCAGAGTCATTTTAATTGGAGTCCAGCTGTTTTTTGCTTTGTCCATCAGACAATGAAGAAAAAACAGTAAGCGAAAATAGCCTCTCAGGGGCTGTAAATCAGGTTTGAGGTCTCCTAACCCACCCCAGTGGCAGCTGTTTCTTCTGTTAATGGAATTGGGAGAGGAGTCAGAAGGGCTCGGTGGTCACTTTCTAGCAGCTGAAAGACAACAGAGCTAAGCATGACTCTCCTGTAGCTCACATGAAAAAGGGCTGCTGTCTGTGTTTCTACTTCTAGTCTCAAGTCCATTCACAGTGGTGCAGTTTATCTGGCAACTACTTGAGGTCAAATATTTCTCTTGGTTCCCTATCCAGGGAATCTACATGCTATTATGCTATCATCCTGGCTGAGATTCCCTTCCCATCTTGTTCCTACCTGCCAGCTGTCCCTATATTTACCTTTCAAATGTCATAGTGAAACAAGACAACTCTCTGGGAAATCCCCAAGGGGAAGTCCTCCTAAAAGGGCTTGCCAGCAACCCTCAGTTCTCTTCCCATGGGTGTCATTGAACAGAGTGGAGAATCACACTGCTCATTTGAGAAACTACTCTCCACCTATGCATTAACTGACTTCTCTGGGCAGGCTGATGTTGGGATGGGGATGTTTCCAAGAGGCCTCTGATCTGCTGGGTTTTGTCAGCCTTAGCTGCACCTGCCAGGTTTCAGAGAGAGACCCTGGTGACTCCAGGTTGTGACAATCACCCAGTGGGATTTATTTTAAATATGATTAGTTTGTTTTAAATAAAAAAAAAATTAAAGTCTTCTCCTCCTCAAGTGCACTTCAGGACCAAAGTCTGAAATTGATAGTGTGGGCACATGCCCCTCATTACTTCATTTGCAGATGGAACAAAACTGACATCTAGGCTGACTAAGATTTAGAAAGGTCCTTGCCTTACAGCATTGATTTTCCCCCATGCTGTCTTCCCTTGCCTCACTTCTCCTCTCGGTCACCATCAGTATAGAGGTTGGGGTTTTCTGCCAGTGTGGATCGCACCTTCTTCTTCTCTTTGAAGCGCCCTGAGTGGGACACCTTGACATGTTTGCCCTTTGTGTTCTTATCCACAATCTTCTCCAGCCGGGCATTGAATTCACAGTTGGTTTCGCTGCCACCACCTGCCTCTGCCCGTGTGCCCTCCTGCTGGTTCTCGTTGGCATAGATGTCTGGGCTCTCATACAGAACTTTGGGGGCAGATTTCTTTTTCCGCAGGAAGGTCAGCTTCCACCAGCTGTAGTTATTCTCAGCCATGTTTGCTCCTCCTGGCAGTAGCAAATGGAACTTGTTTCTAAAGACAAAGCAAATTTCATCATTAAGGTTTGCTTGTGCCCTAGCAAATTTTACACTCACAAGCTTGGAATTGGGACCTTCAGTTCCAAAACCATAGGCCATCTGCTCCCCTCCCATCGGAGCTAAGGGAGGAATGGATCCAGCTAGTGGAGTAGTGGTACATCCCCTACACGCTGTGGGGACTAGTCTGTAGAAAATAGCATTTCTTGCACATATACAGTTAATATATTACATCAGTGGTGCTGAGCCTGTCCAGTGCTGCGGGCCCGTTAAGTAGCATGGGGTTAGTCTGCAGGCCGGATCCCATGCGCAGGGTTGGCATGTGGGGTCTGACATAATCCAGCACATAGGGCCATGTCATCCAGCCCACAGGGGTCCCCACAGGTCCAGAAGTTTTTTGGTGGGGAAGTAGTGGCAGTGCTCTGGGCCACTGCTCCAACGCTGCCAAATTTTCAGACCCTGTTGACCTCCCTGGGCTGGATGACACAGCCCTACATGCCAAATGCAGCCCCTCGTCTGCAGGTTGAGCACCATTGTATTACGCTACCACACCCACTGTTCCCTGATATTTGATTTGCTTCCACTTTCCACCCCAGTCCTCATGACCATAAGTCAGTATGACCCTTCCCAGGCTGGCTGAGCGTCCCTCCAGACCCTTTTTCTGCTGAGAGATCTATGTATTGACCTAGAGGCACCATTCTCTCTCTTCCCAAAGACTGAACCTGTTCCAAATGCCACCAGAGACTGATGGAATTTAATCTCCCAAGGCTGCTGTAAGTGTGTTTCAGAGAGCAGCTGTTTCATAGACTTGTAGAAAAGTAAGGCTGGCAGGTCCCTCAGGAGGTCATCCAGTCCAACCCCTTTTCAAGGCAGGACCAGCCCTGTCTAAACCATCCCGGCTAAGTGTTTGTTTAACCTGCACTGAAAAGCTTGCAATGACAGACTCCAATAGCCTCTCCAGGGAATCTGCGCTAGTGCTAAACCTCCCTCACAGTTAGAATGTGCTACTTCATATCTAACCTAAATCTCTCTTGTTGCAATTTAAGTCCATTACTTCTTGTCCTGTCCCCTGCAGACACAGAGGACAGTCAATTACTAGTTGAAGACTTGTTATCAAATCCCTCCTCTGTTTTCTCTAAACCCAGTTCTTCCAGCTTTTCCTCGCATTTTATTTTCTAGCCCTCTTATCATTTTTGTTGCTCTGCTTTAGACCCTTTTTAATTTGTCCGCGTCTTTGTTGAAGTGCAGTGTCCCAAACTGGACACAGTACTGCAGGTGAGGCCTCACCAGTGCCTAATACAGTGCATGAATTGCTTCCCATGACTTGCATGTGACTCTCCTGCTGATGTTGCCCAGTATAATATTATTTCCTCTCAACAATAGCATACTGTTGACTCCTATTCAACTTTTGATTCACTATAACCTGTAGGCACTTTTTTGCAGTGCTACACTATTCCCTGTGTTGTGTTTGTGCAGAGTCCATTCGCCAGTTCTCAAATGCTTTGAAGGAGCTACTACAGTGTTTTGCACTGTGGACAGATTATATCTCAGAACCCAGATACAGCTTTGCAAGGCTTCTCATGAGACTGAGGGCAAAGAACCTCTGACTCCATCACAGTCACTTTCTCCTGTTTGTCATTGGGTTGCCTCATCTTAGTGCAGCATGGCAATGTATTGTAGCATAATGACCTGTCATCACAGTGCAGGGTGACGATGCTGAGCTGGTAAGAAATATTTATTGGCAGGTGCCTAGAGCACTGTGCCCAGGATCTGAGAGAGCCAAGGGGCTTTTTTTCTTTGCTCTGCCAATGATCTGTCATAGCCATGCTCCTGGTTTCCCTCCCAGTATTTGTCTGGGTTGCTGAGCTTGCCAGGTTCTTCAGATCAGCACTAGCCTCTTGCTTTGAGTCTGTGCGCATAACCTCACTGATCCCAGCTGTGGCATTTAGCTATTACTATAATGCAGATGCTATTAATTGAAATAACTGACTCCAGTCATTTAGCTTTGCCCATATCCTGCCCTTATCAGGGCATGTTCTTCCTGTGATTTCCCTCTACTCTCTTCCCAGCCCTATGCTTTGTTATTCTCCCTTGTTACATCTTCTCTTCACTGGACTGTAAGTTCTCTGTGGCTTAGAGGCCAATTTGTATCCTGTATCTGTACAGGATGAAATAATGAGAGTATGTTTAATGGCCATATTTAACTATGAAGTGTGTTGTGGTAGAACGAATTCCCACAGGTTGTTATGGAGGCTGATAATTTAAGCAGATTCAAAAGGGATTTGACAAATTCATGGGAGGAGAGATCCACTGGTACCTATTAAACATGATAGAGCTGCAGCTTCAGAACTAGGACTTCCTAGGACTCTGAATGCTAGAAGTTATAGGTAGAGCAGGGCAGTGGCAAATCAGTCTGGATAGGTCCTGCATGTACACTCTTTCCTGCAGCATCTGCTTTCTGCCACTGTGAGAAACAGGATACTGGGCTGGATTGGCCTGTAGTCCTTATACATACCTTGAGCTCAAGGTAATTTAGCCATGCCATGTGACAGGCTCAGTGCTGAAGTCTGAAGGCAAAACTGTTTGCTTTGGAAGCTGAACTAGAGTCAATATGTGCCACTTCCTGCTTCTGCCCATTTTACAACTGGGGAGACTGAGGCACAGAGGAGTGGTTTTACCCAAGGTCACAGAGAGCCAGCCGCAGAGCCAGGAGCATAACTCAGAAGCTCCTGGTGCCTTGGTCCATTTCAGCCAATGTTGTTGATCTAATAGTGCTAATCAGTACAGATTTAAGCTTTGGCTTTCAGCCCACCCCTCATGGATGGCAACAGCCTCCAGCATGAGCCCAGCTGGGTGTTTGCTGAGGGCGTATCTCACCCTTTGATCGCTCCCTCCAGCAGCTTCTAGAGCACGGTGCAGTCGCTTTGTAGTCAGGGTGGCAGCAGGGACTGAGGATGTGGCAGGGTCGAGGAGGCTGTCCCTGATGACAGCTCCTGCATGGAAATACATCTCCTGACACTCGGTACTGCCTGATATATAGAAGCAGGAGGGCGGCCTGCAGATCCTCCGAGGCAGGACCATGCTGCAGGAGGAGGTAGCCGTTTCTCAGGCGTGTTGAACACCTTTCTAGCTGATACTCAGGGGCCTGCACCTGGGACCTCCATAGCTAGACCTGAGTTATTCTATATTGAACCAAAGTTCATAGCTGGCAGCTATAGTAATTCTAGTTCTCTGAATTGGCAGTAAAGAGCATATATAACACTCACCAGCAGGTTGCACCAACCTTCAGTACTTATCTGGAAGGAACAAGGAAAACCTAGTGAGGGTGCAGCTGGGAGGTCTTCCCTGGATCTGGTCTCTGTCCAGCAGTAAAGCAAAGCAGACCATTTGGTGAAATAGGGGTGAGGCAGGAGGAAGAGGAGCTGGCCTCCTGCATGATCTTCCCTGATTAATCCCACTGCTGCAGATACTATATGAAATTGTGATTATTTGATATGGTACTTGGGTCACTGAGCCTGTACTCCAGCACCCTGCAAGAGACCCAGCAGCTAACAGACGCTTGATGTTAGGGGCTGTGCCCAAGATTCTGCTCTCAGCTGCACTGCAGTGAAGCCAGAGGGATTCTTTGCTTTCGTCCCAGGTACCTTTGTGCAATTGTCTTTGTGTAATTTGGAGCAGAAATTTGACCTGACAGTTTCACAGCTGCCCAGGGGTTAATCCCAGCATTGTGCCATTAGAAGCGGAGTCCAAGATGGGCAGTGTGTTATACAGGTATCTAGCATGTGAGACTTGTAGGGTAGAAATTCCCTGGATCTGCTGGGGAACTTCGGAGACTCCTGGATGAAGAGCTGGCTGCCTGGGAAGTTGCATCATTGTTTGGGAGGAGGGGCACAACTATTAGAAGGGGAGGGATTGCTATCAATAACTCCAAACTAGGGTCCTCTGCATGAGGCATCAGGTTAGCCCCCTTGGATGGTTTCAAGTGCAGTCCTCGACAACAACAGAGTCCCCTCTGCAGCACAGGGCCACTTTCTTCTATGCCCCTTTCTGGCTTGTCCATATTTACATTCTCAGGGGCCAATCTGGAGAGCCGCATGGGGTATGCCCAGCATCCATCCTACTCTATTATGCAGAACTGCTCCAAGTACACCCTTGCCAGAGCTGCTCAATGTATACTCAGGCCTGAGATACCAAACTGCTACTAGTCTACCCAAGCACATGTACGCACAGATGCTCATGTGAACTTATGCAGGCGGGCATAACTCCAGACATGCACTCAGAGCTACACAAACACATGCATATGCAGAGATCCCATTGTGCTGATGTGGTCTGGGTACAAACAAGGAGCTGTGCACACAAGAACATATACACCTGGGTACATGTCTGTTCAGGTGCATGCGTGTAGTTGTATGCCTGCACTGTAAAAACACATAGAGAATGAGCACAAGAGTCAAATCACAGTTAAAATCCTTTCCTGGCCCTAAAACTTAGTGTGATCTTTCTGGGGTCACAGACCCAGCCAAACCCAGGCCCCCGAGAAAACATTCTGTGAGAGAGAAGAAAAGAGCTGGGACAGTCAAGGAGGTTACTAGACTCCCTGCATGGCTGTCCCTTTGCCTCCTTCCTGGAGCACAGAGTGCGTGAAATGGTCCAACCCCTTCCCCAACCCCACGCCCACAGCTGCGGGCCTCGCATTCTCCCTTCTCCAACCCTGTTACCTGCCAGTGAGGAAAGGCAATGTAGGGTCCCAGAGATCAGCAGCCCCTCTAGCTGGTGGCAGAGATTTCAGCCTCAGAGAAGGTGTCTCTGGCAGTGGTGAGGAGGGAGGGGGATGAGGGCTCATCCCGTGAGAAACTGCCGCAACCTTGGGCCAAGTCCGCCAAATATTTCAGTGGGTTAAACATTGATGGCTCAGGCTAAATAGCAGGGACCTGCCAGGGGCTAAGCAGGGTTCAGTGCCTCTTGCCATGGGGTGGTTTTCAGTGTGGAACATCCCCCCAGAAGACCCCAACCTAAACATTCAACATCAGAGCATATAACATTCAATGCCTGGAGAGGGGAGTGTTTGTTCTGCAGGTGACACACAGCCCCCCTGCTGTCCTGTGACACGGATTTCCTCTCCCTCCTATCTCCAGCCCCATCAACTCACAGCCCCCTGAACTGCTGCCACTGGCTGCTCCAAAACCTGCACAGTAAATGGGCTTTGTGCTACACAGGGCAGCCATTCTCATGCTTGGAGTCCCTGTAACACATCCAGCTGTTGGGTCACTTTGCTGAGTGTCATTGACAGAAGAGAGGGGAAGGAAGCCCAGTACTGTTTGTAACCACTGCTTGCATGTGACAGGGCAAAGCCAATGTAGCCCTTCAGAGGCTGGCAATATCCAGCTTCTCCTCCCCACCCCCCACCCCCTTTCTGCATTCATTTCACCACTTACGTGCCAAGGGTTACTCTCAAACCCTGTTTTATATGGAGCAAACTCTGTGTACTCTCCATTAACCACAATAGACCAGAAGCAGCAATGGGGAATTCTGCCCCTCAGATTGGCAAAAAGACATTAGCAGGTGTCTTTAGCAGCTTTAGTCAAGGTCTGGAGGGCTTTTAAAATAATCAGCCATATATGGCCCTGGGGAAGGCTGGTCCTTTGCTAGGAGGAGTTTCATGTGCAAAGGGCTGAGCTGATGGTTCTGCAAACCAAGTCCTTCATATGCCAGCTGGTCAAGATAGTGCCAGAGGAAGTCCTCCCCTGCAACACTCCCTCCCTCTCTAGGGCTGAAAAAGGATCTGAGACTCTGCAGCCCATAGATTTATTGGCCTCTGCTGGGACTGAAATGAAGAGTCTCATTGAAATGCCCACTGTGCTGATATGGTCTGGGACCCCCATGCTCATTCCCTGTGCATGACTAGTAGTGGCTTTCAGTCACTGCCACCATGAGCTAAGTATGAAAGGACCCTGTTGCAATGAAAGGCTCCACATCTCATTCCTGACCCTGTGCCAGCTGTCCAGATCCCCCCAGATCAGCATGGCCTGGTCTGACCGGTTAGAAAGAGCTCCCCTCCTCCTCCTGAAGCCAACTTTATACCCAGTCTGCAGAGGTGTTAAGAACCTGTGTGGAGCTGAAGGCACTCAACACCAGATCTGGCCCTTCCGTGGGAGCACCAATTAATGAAATATTCATGGAGGTGCCGGGGCATGACATCTCGAGTTCCCTTTTCCTTTCCCCTCAGACACCCCTACCCAGCATACCTGCTTCTTCAAAGACCTCCCTTCAGTCCTTGTCTGGGTGCATTCAGGTCCCCTGGGGAGCTGTCAGCCTGGGGAGCTGCCCCAGCAGGAGCAATGAGAGGTGATGGCTCTGGGCCACTAGCAGCAACAGACAGGCTGTGTGACTGAGCTCCTGTGCTGGGGGAAGGAAGGGGTAGCGGCTCTCACGGCTCAGGTGCATGAGGAGGCAGGTGCATAGGTGCTGTGTACCTGTTGTTGCCTTTTGCTCTGTGTCAAGGTTAACCAGAGATCTAGCCACTCCTGCCTAAGTAAACAGTAGCAGAGGCTGGGCCAGGGGAGCTCTGAATATTCATAACTGAAGAAACCTGATCAGGGCTGCTGCTGCCACTTGCTTCCTCAAGGTAGCTCAGGTTGCTTGTCACCTGGGACTGGTGGGAGGGGGTTGGGGGGCAGGGGGAGGTAGGTAGAAGGGGGCTTTTCCAGGGCTGGCTTGCTAGTAGAGCTTACTTTCAAGGGCACTTCCCTGGAGTTTCACCCCAGATGTCTCTTCAGGGCTGGAATCCCAGGGGAGTTTAGCCTGGAGGGCTCTCTCGGAGTCCCATGGGTTGAGGCATTGCCCCAAGGGTTCTCTGCATGGCTAGACAGCTTGACACTAGGGCAGAGAAGGGTTAAAACCCTGAGCACTGTTTGCCTGGCAGGAGATTGTATTCTCGCTTTTCTTTCTTTCTAAAGGATTAGTCGAAACTAGACTCTGGCTCAACTGGTTGCCAGACCGGTTCCCTTTTCTTTGCATCTCTCCCAGGGATTTTCTTTATCGCTCCTTTTCTCTTCAGCTTTCCCTGAATGCACATGTGCCTGGCTCAGATCTGAGCTCCATTGCTGCTCTGTTTCCCAGCTTGCTCAGCTGCTCACAACTGCATATCCTAGGATTTCTGGTCCCTTCATGCAGAAAATACACCTGCCTTCCTATGGGCACAAGCTAAAAGCATAAGAACATAAGAGCTGTCATACTTAGGGCAGTCCATAAGTCCATCTAGTTCAGTATTCTTCTGTCCCTCAGTGGTAGAAAGCGGATGCTAAATGGGAGGAAGCATTTATGCAGGGCCTATCCAGACTGATCAATCCCCTGCCACTCTCCCCTTGCAGCTTCCTGCATGCAGATGCTTAGGAAATCCTAATTTGTAGATTGCACCTCTCACTGTCATGTCTAATACTCCCTGATGGACCCATCCCCAGTCCCCTTTTGAATTTGGTTAAATTGTCAGCTTCTGCACTATCTTGTGGCAACACGTTTCACAAATTAATTCCACCCTGTGCGAAAAAGAACTTCCTCCAGTTTGTTTTGAACCTGCTTCCCAATAATTTCACTGTATGCCCCCTAGTTCTGACATTGTGAAAGATGATAAGCAGTAAATCCCTGTGTACTTTCTCCACATCATTCATGATTCTATAGACCTCTATCATATCCCATCTCCATGTGTCTTTTCTCTGAGTCGCTTATTTAATTTCTCCTGGTATGGAAGCTCTTCTGGAATTCTCTCCGTATCCTTGCAGTTACCTCCCACCTACTCTTTCAGTGTCTGTGTCAGTGGGCTTGTCTACACATTCATTAATGTGCCATAGGTAATGCACATTAAATCTAGTACCTCCATTGTGAAGTTCTAGAAAAATGCTCATTAGCTTATTTTAATGTTCATTAGTGAAAAAGCATGTGTTTTGATGCTTTAATGCACATTAAAGTAGACTAATGTGCATTAAAGTACATGTGTATCTGACTCACTGTAAGAGCACAATCTGGCCTTTAGCCTTGCTGATCTGAATTAATTCCCTTCCACTCAAAACTCAGCTTCTGCTTTTCATCCAGCTAGCTATTCCAAGTGGCTCTCACAGACAAGGAAAGGAGGGTCCAAACCCGTGGCCAAATCTCCTCACCAGCTAGAGCAAATCTGCTCTTCAGTAGCTCAGGAGGTGATGAGGCCTGTCTAGGTTACTGCCAAAAGAGCAGCTCCCTGCCAGGCTCATGTCTGGATCTCAGATCCCTTGACTGGTTTTGGACTGAGCTCTTCACCACTTGGCATTAGCTCTTAGGTAATGATACTAATAGCAGTTAGCATGGGGAGGTCCAGAATGCCAAGCCACTTAGAAACTCAGGCCTGTTTGCTGGAATGAGTAAGGGAATGTTTTCCCCGGACCTCTGCAGACATTAACGTACTTATAATCCCTCCTGTCATACTTGGAAAACCTATTATTCTCTGCATTCCTGGCTTATAAAGCATTTTTCAGAACACTTGGAAGAGAGAAACAAGTTTAACCCCCCCCAGTTAGTTGCAGTATGTCAGGGGTGGGTGCATTTGCCAGGTGGGTGGCAGCAGTTTATAAAAAAAGCTAGAGGTGTCTCCTCATGCACCTTGTGTGAGATGTGTGCAACATCTCTAAGAGACATCACAGGAGAAAGGCAGAGGCTGCAATGGGGGAGGGCCCATTGCTGCATCTCATGGAGACACTTTCTGAACATTATAGCCAGGCTCTGCAAAATTCCCCCAGTGGTCAAGGCAACAAGGTCCTGGATGCATTGTGTGTCTTCTCGGAAGCCAAGGGGTAGCTGTGGGGGAGAAATGTGTTGCAACACAGGAAATGTGGTTTGGTTGCTTATTAAGAATGGAGAGCACTAGGGGATGAGCTGTACCCCAGTGAAACTTGACAGCCAAGTTCTACCCAAATCAATATAATGAGTTCAATGCAAGACACAGATGACACCTGGTCTCATGAATAAAAATGGAGATAAGGGTGGGTCACAGACTTCAGACCAGGGGTACCAAGGCATGGCTAGACCCCTTCAGATGATGCATTCTTCTGTGTCTCCTGTGGGGGTAAGCACCAGGGGAAGGGCTGGAATTGTAGTGGTGCCAGCATGGTGCGTTCTGTACAGCATGCAGGACACTGGATGGTGGGGTGCACCACCTGACCTTTCTAACTAGTGGTGCTCCGTTATAGTGGTTTGCCTCTGCCCTGACTGAGTCATGGCCCTCTCTATGGCCATGTGCTCCCTTCTGATCTTTTGAGAACGTTCCAGGAAATGCTCCCTGCAGAACCTTGCCTTCAAGGTTCTCTGTTGCAGTGAAGGCAGTCTGTCAGTCCATATCATCCTGTTTCTGGTCTCCATGCAATCAATGGCAATGTTTTTTCTTTCCCTGAAATTTTGGAATGCCATTTCTAGCTTCTCCTCCCTCTGGGATTCCCTTCAAGAGGATAATATGTTTCCCAAATTGTTTCTCCCTGTAGCCAGCATTCCCTCTAAGCTGTGCAGCGTGTGTGGCTACACAGGCATACCTGGCAGCATGGCTTGAGTGTGCCTGCACGGGTGCACACACCACACAGGTTAGAGGGAACGTTGCCTGTAGGTAGGCAGGGTGATTGGATGGCTGTGTTGGTTATGGTGGATGAGAGGCTACTGGGTGAGTAGAGGGTCTGCATCAATATGCAGGCTAGTAATTGCCTGTACATCAGGTTGCCTTTACACTGGAGGATGTTACCCTCAAGCAAGTCCATAAGACATATAGAAGGGTTTTGTTTAAAAAGGCAGTGAACAACCAGAGAAGGCAAGCAGTTCTGCAGGTGA